TGAGCTATAGGCGCCGAGCCGATAAAGTTACTTTAAAGGTTATTATACTTATATTTTATTGTCCAAGAAGGTAGAAGGAAACATGAGTACATTAGGAAAGATATGAAAGAGAAATTAATACAATAACTCTCCAGTAACAGATCCCTGCCATTATAGTAGTTATTACCAAAAAGACAAAAATGAAAGATGTGGAGGAGGTAGAAAAAAAGGAACTGTTATACATTGTTGGTGGGAATTTAAATTAATACAACCAGTATGTAAAACAGTATGGAGGATTCCCAAAAACTAAAAATAGAACCACTATATAGTCCAGCAATCCCACCACTGTTTCTCCAAAATAAAGGAAATCAGTATATCAAAGGTATAGCTGTACCCCCATGTCCAATGCAGCATTATTCACAATAGCCAAAATATGAAATCAACCTATGTTTCTTTTGATACGTGAATAGATAAAGAAAACGTGGAGTGTATGTGTGTATGATAATGGAACACTATCCTGGCCTAAAAAAGAATGAAATATAGTCATTTTCTGTAACATAGATAGAACTGGAGGTCGTTATTTAAGTGAAATAAGCCAGGCCCAGAAACACAAGTATCTCATGTTCTCACTCATACATAGGAGCTAAAAAAAGTTGACCTCATGGAAATAGTAGAATGATAGTTACCAATGGGGAGGTGGGGAGATGAAGAAAGGTTGGCTAATCGATACAAAAAGTTAGTTAGAAGAAATAAGTTCTAGTGCTTGATAGCACAGTAGGATCTCTATAGTTAGTAATGAGTTAATTGTCTTTCAAAATAGTTAGTTTTAAAATGTTCCCAATACAAAGAAATAATAAGTGCTTGGGGTGATAGATATCTTAAATGGTTTGGTTATTACACATTGTATGCATGTATCAAAATATCACTTGTACCCATAAATATGTATATTATGTATCAATAATAAGTAAATAATTAAAAATCCCTTTAACACTCATGCAAAAATTCAATTTTAGCAAACTGAATCCAACAATATAACAAAAGGCTAACATGTCATGAATAAGTAGAGTTGTTTTAGGATATTTAAGGCTGGCTCAGTATTCAAAAATCAGTCATTTTAATGTGCCACATCAAGAAACACAAAAACAAAGATATAATTATTCATAGATGTAGCAACAGCTATTGAAAAAAATTCAGTGTCATTCTCAATTTTAAAAATATGTCTAGCCAAGCACATTAGTTCATGCCTGAACCCCTGCACTTTGGGAGGGCTAGGCAGGAGGATAGCTTGAAGTCAGGAGTCTGTCTCTGAAAACAAAATTTAAAATTAGCTGGGCATTGTGTGCACACCCATAGCCCTAGCTAAGACTGAGGAGGAAGATTGCTTCAGCCTAGTAGTCTGAGATTGCAGTGAGCTATGATGGCACCACTGTACTCCAGCCTGGGCAGTAATAAATAAACAAACAAACCTCAGTAAACTAAGAATAGAAGATATTTTCTCAGTCTTATTTTTAAAAATGTCTATTTTTAAAGATTAAATAGGTAACATCATATTCAAACTTTTCCTGTAATATAGGGAACAAGGTGAATATGTTTGCTCCCCACTGTCACCCTTCCCATTTAACATTATATTGGAAGTTCTAGGCAATACAACAGAGGTACAAAGAGAAGTGAAAGGCTTACAGACTGGAAATGAAGATATAAAGCTGTATCTATTTGCACATTATGTGATTATCTATGTAGAACCCTCCCCAAATAACCTACAAAAACTTCTGGAGTTCAGCAATGTCACAGGACACAAGATCAATACATAAACATCAATTGTATTTCTATATACTAGCAATTAATATGGAATTAATATCCTTTTAACATGGAAACTTTAAAAGGGTTACTTATAATAGTACCAAAACCCTGCAATACTTAGGCATATAGCTAATAAAATATGTGAAATGTCTATACAGTGAAAACTATACAACACTGATGAAAAGACACAAAGACAACCTAAATAAAGAGATATACTATATTCATGGATTGGAAGATGCAATATTGTTAAAGTATTAGTTTTTCCCAAATTTATCTACAAATTCTTCACAATTCCAATCAAAATCCTAGCAGAACTAACAATCTTGTTTTAAAATCTATCTAGAAAAGCAAAATAATAATAATAAAGTTAAAAATTAGAATGATCAAAAAAAATTTTAAAGCAGAACAAAGTTGAATAACTCTTAATACCTAATGTCAAAACTTAATATAGAGTTGCACACTAATCGAGACAGGGTGGTAGGCAAAAGATATAAATAAGACATTTCACTAAAGCTAAATGAAAATTGGAAAGCAGAGTGAGACATAACCACCAGAATGGTTACAATTAAACAAAGAACAACTGACAGTACAATACCAAGTGCTGGTGAGGATATAGAGCAACTAGGCCTCTCATACACTGTTGGAAGACATGCAACAAAATGGCACAGCCATTTGGAAACCCTTTAATGGTTTCTTATAAATATAAACATACATTCACTATACAGTCCAGCATTCCTATTCCTGGTTGTTTACCCAAGGAGGGTAAAAATGTATGCTCACACAAAAACCTATACATGAATATTTATGAAGTCTTTATTCATAATTGCTAAAATTCCTAAATGTTCTTTAATCGGTGAAAGATAAAATGTGGTAAACAAAGGTTCTGACAATTAAGTTTATAAACTCATCCTAGAAAAAGTGCTATGTACCTCATTGCTGAATATCACTATGGTTACCTTCAGAGTGCTCCCTTTAGGAAGCTATGCAAGGGTGCCAGAACCTAGTCTACCCTTCAAAGCAATTTTGGAACTCTTTTTCTGGAATGGCTGTCATAGCTATCATGGTATTACCCTGATGTCCTGAATGTCATCAAAATGTCTTCCTTTCAATATTTCCTTTATCTTTGAGTAAAGAAAAAAGTCACTGGGGGCCAGATCAGGTAAGTTGGGAGGATGTTCTAATGCAGTTATTAGTTTGCTGGTTAAAAACTCCCTCACAGACTATATAGTGTAAGCTGGTGCATGGTTGTGATGCAAGAGCCATGAGTTGTTGGCCAAGATTTTCAGTTAAGATTTTTCTAACTGTTTCTATATAAATGTTTACTTGGTTTGCTATGCTTCGCATAGTCAGCCAACAATTTTGACCCACAATTTGATGAATTTTTGCAATGTTTTTCTGAGTTCCGCTTGTTACTGGCTTCCCTGACCTCTCTTCATCAGTGATACTTTCTCTCCTCTCTGAAAAATATTTAATTTATTTGTGCACTGACATTTTATTCATTTCATTACACCATAAATTTAGACTAATCCATTCCCAATTTCCCTTCCACGTCCATTCTTGACAACTTTCACAAGAAATTTATGAATGTTTGTTCATTGTTCTAATTCAATCTCCAACATTCTCCTGACAGTCCACAAAAACATACAACAGTAATGAATACTCTTTAGCAAGAGTATGCCACAACATAAACACAACTGTAAGACGCTGATGATGTCAACATAAACACAACTGTAAGACACTGCCACATGTCAACATGAACACAACTGTAAGACGCTGATGATGTCAAACTTTACTGAGTTGTTTGTGCAGTGCTTCCAACATAAGCACATGGTGGCAAGTTCGCAAACTTAATTATCATACCTCATATTGATATAATGGAATACCATCCAGTGACAAAAAGAAGCAAACTACAAACTACTGATAATACATGCAACAACATGGATGACTCTCGAATGCATTATATTAAGAGACAGAAGGAGGATTCAAACAACTATGTACTACATGATTCCATTTTTGTGACATTTGAAAAAGGTTAAACAGTAGAAATAGAGAACAGATAAGTGGTTGTCAGCAGCTTGGCCTGTGGAGAGTGGTCACTACAGGAGGGTATGAGGGATTTGAGAAGTGATAAAAGTGTTCTGCATCTTCACTGGGTGGCTACACAACTCATGCGTTTCTCATAACTTGTAGTACTGTATAAGAAAAAAAATAATTTTATGGTATATAAAATGTTCCTTAATTTAAAAAACCTTTGTATAGAGTTTGAATTAAAAAAACCATAGAATTCTTTTAAAAAAAAAAGCATTCTGGGAAAAAATCCCATTTTGGATAGGAGGGTCAGGAGAAGGCCTCTCTACATTGTCACCAGCATTTGATATTACCAGCATTTTTTCTTTTCTTTTTTCTTTTAACTGTAACAATTCTGACAGGTGTGGTGGTCACGTCTCATTGTGCTATTCAATTATCTTTTGGCTAATAAGTAATGATATTGAGTGTCTTTTCATGTGTGTAGCTGAATGGTGAAGGAGATATTTAATGGAAGGTGAAGAAATAGCTAGAAGAGTAGCCCTGCAGCAGGAAAGAGTTTGGAACATGGCAGGAAAGTTGAGAAGGTCTGGGGTGCTTATTTCTAATGGCTTCCATATAGTAATTGCTTATCATGTATATAGCCTGAGGACTTTAAGGACTAGAAGCAGTCACTGTGATGAAGTTTTCAAAGACCCATTGAAAGGACTTTCTCCTCCATTAGGACTGGGAGGTCCCTCCATTGATGTCCCTCCATTAGGACTGGGAGGTCAATCACATAGGAGGCAGACTCTGCAGGCAGAATCTGTACATCTGAGGAATTTCCTGGACAGGCTTTGAAAGCAGAGGATCAGAGTCTGTTGCTTGGCCTTGAGGTCACGAGAAACCCTTACTCCTCAAATTTGGCATCTTGTTTTTTAGTATCATTAATTTTTACTTTATAGTTAGAAAATCTTATGCATGCATTTGTTAGATTTACTGATGCCAAATGGCATTCTTGAGAGGCCAGTAGATTACAGATTAACTATTTGTACATGCTGTGTGGCAGGAAAGATCCCTCATATAAGCATGAAAGAAATAAAGTTTTTTTGCTACTTGCCTGAGCGAGCGGTAGCCACCCTACTCTTCAGAGACATTCTGACTGCTAGTTTATCTCGGCGACTTGGGCCCAAACAATTTACAGCAATACATGTAATAGGTCAGAGGTTCTCAACCTGTAGGTCATGACCCACAGGAACTGTATTAAAGGGCCGTAGCATTAGGAAGGTTGAGAACCACTGTATTAGGCTCCATGTTACTGTCTGTGCATACAGAATTTTATTGACTCTTCACAATAAACCAATAAGATGGCTATGGTTAGTTTCTCTTTATAGGAAAAGAAAGTGAAGGCTTAAAAAAGGTTAATTAATTTATCCAAGAACTTGGGTCTGACTCCAAAGCCCCATTCTCTTTATACCAGTGACTAGATGAGTAACAATTTTATCTTTTGGTTTCATCTTAAAATTTTCCATTTAAATTCAGAGACACAAGGCCACAAAAAGTAAAGCAAAAAGACAACCTTCAGAACAGGAAAAGATATTTGCATATTACAAATCTGACAAAGAACTGATAACTAGAGTCTACAGAGAAGTCAAACTAATCAACAAAAAACCTAGCAAACATCCCATCTACCATTGGGCAAGAGATATGAACAGAATCTTCTCTGAGAAAAATAGAGAAATGGCTAATAAACATTTGAAAAAATGCTCATGTTCCTGATCGTCAGAGAAATGCAAATCAAAACCACCCAGAAATATCACCTAACCCCCGTGAGAATGGCCCACATCACAAAGTCTCAAAGCTGCAGATGCTGGCATGGATGTGGAGAGAAGGGAACACTCCTACACTACTAGTGGGACTGAAAACTAGTACAACCTCTTTGGAAGGAAGTATGGAGAATCTTCAAGGAACTCAAATTAGACCTCCCATTTAATCTCACAATCCCACTTCTAAGCATCTACCCAAAAGAAAAAAAATCATTTTATCATAAGGACATTTGTACTAGATTGTTTATTGCAGCTCACTTTACAATCACCCAAATGTGGAAACAAACTAAATGCCCTCCAATCCAGGCATGAATTAACAAGGTGTGGTATGTGTATACCATGGAATACTATTCAGCCATTAAAAAGATAGAGACTTTACATTTTTTGTATTAACCTGGATGGAGGTGGAACATATTCTTCTAGTAAAGCATCACAAGAATGGAGAAGCAAAAGTCCAATGTACTCAATTCTAATATGAATGCAGTAGAGGAGCTAACACAAGAGGTGGGGTAGGGGAATGAGGTAGCGGGGAGAGTGGATGGGGAGTCATGGTATGTGGCACACCTCTTAGGGACAGGATACAAGTATAAGAGGGACTTTATCTAACAAATGCAATCAGTGTTACCTAATTCTTTGTACCCCCAATGAATCCCATGAATAATAATAATTCAATGAATAATAATAAAAAAGATGGAGACTTTACATCTTGTGTATTAACCTGGATGGAGTTGAAACACATTCTTCTTAGTAAAGTATCACAAGAATGGAGAAGCAAGAATCCTATGTAGTTAATTCTGATATGAAGCCAGTAGACAATCTAATGCACGCTCACATAAGACAAAAACTCAAATTAATTCAAGGTAGGGGGTGGGGGTAGTGGGGAGAGGGGATAAGGGAGGGGGATGGGTTTGCTCCCACTTAATGGGCACAATGTTAGGGTATATGTCACACCTCCTGGGGCAGGACATAATTACAAGAGAGACTCTATATAACAAATACAAACACTGTAACCTAATTCTTTGTACCCTCAAATTAACCTGGAACAAATAATAAAAATAAGTAAATTTGAGACACATTAGCAAACATACCTTACATTTTTTCCATGCCATGCTAGTTGGTTTGGACAATAATGATAATGATAATAATTATCCCTTTGATAAGTATTAACACAGATTCAAAGAAAGAGTATGTGAGAGAAATCCTTGAAAAAAGAGAGAACAAAGATGCAGGTAACTTTGATTTAAGCTTTGAGATGTCATGACATGAACTTCTAATCATGAGACCTGATCTCCCAGAATTCAGAGTTTCATGGGTATCTGAAGTTATGAAACTTTCCCCTAGATTCTGACCAATCTCAACACCCTACAATTACCTCTTCACTGTGTTTTCTGTTACGTTTATTTTTCGTATAATACTGTTAATTTTCTCCAGCCAGCCTACGTGATCAGTTCCAAGTTCTTGCACTTGCAAGTCCATCTTTGTGTTCCAGTAGTTTAGCCTGAAGAACATGCTCTGTGGACACCTGCAGAAATGTTAGGATCAGTTACAAGGTAGAAAATGGGGCACATCTTACAATAGCCTGAAGCTCTTGTCCTTTGATGGCAAGTTGGTCTTTTTAGTCATTTCCTATCAATAAAATGGGCCAATGGGCATTTAGGCCCCACGGAAAAATATCAGGCATTTATTCGATGTCTACTTTAAAAGATCTCTGAGGCTGGGCGGGATAGCTCATTCCTATAATTCTACCACTTTGAGAGGTCAAGGCAGGTGGATTGCTCTAGCATAGAAGTTGGAGACCAACTTGAGCAAGAGTGAGAACCCATTTCTACTAAAAATAGAAAAAAAGGAAAAGAAAACAACTAGCCAGATGTTGCTACAGCTACTTGGGAGGTTGAGGCAAGAGTATCGCTCAAACCCAAGACTTTGAGGTTGCTGTGAGCTACAATGCCACAGCACTCTACCCAGGGACTCTGTCTCAAAAAGTCAAAAATAAAAGATCTTTGAAAGGCTAGATAAAACAAAGCATATATTTTAGTTAGTAAAAAACATATATATTTTTTCATTTCCCTGCATAGCATCAATGTTAAATATTGATATCAGGATAGTGGTTATATCATGGTGGGGGAGGAGAGGTAGACAATAGGGAAAGAATCCGCCGAGTATTAACTGTATACATCTTCACATGTGTGTATGTGTGAATGTGTATAGATATATTTTTGAGACACTGTGACAACTGTGCTAGAGAACTAGAGTGCAGTGATTTCATCATAGCTTATAGTACCTGAGCTCAAGCAATGCTCCTGCCTTAGCCTCCTGAGCAGCTGGGACTATAGGCACACATCACTATGCCCAGTGAATTTTTTTACTTTTTTTGGTAGAGATTGGGTCTTGTTGTTCAGGCTGGTCTCAGACTCCTGGGCTCAAGTGATCCTCCTGCCTCAGCCTCCTAAAGTGTTAAGATTACAGGTGTGAGTCACCACATCTGACCTCACAACATACTTCTAATGATAATTATAATCTTTCATATTTCGAAAATGATGGGAGGGTTGATATGTGTATTAATTCCAGACTCCAAATAAAAATTTGCAAAGAGAACTCCATGCTTTGTCCTTAGAAACGTTCTTACTTTGCATTCTTGCTGGAATGTGTAGTGACCTGTGTACATGGGTGCTTTACATCGGTTCAAGACATAGATGGATTTTAAATATCCCAAGCTTTCCCTAAGTCTGCTACTTAAATTTCGTTGTTCCCTTCACACACATTATTAGATGCTCTCTCTTGAGTGTGTCAAGGCTTACAATTCAGGGATGTTCCCCTCTGAAAACTGCACAGATGTAGACACTGGGGGGTCCTCACGAGTATCTGTTTCCTGCTCGTCCTGTTCACTCTGTGGGTCCTGGTTATACTCGGCCTCCTGCTCCAGGGTATCCTGATAAAGAGGAAGGAAGCAAAGCAGAACAAGAGGGTTATCCCAAGAGGTGGTGGCTCCTCTAGCCCTACCCAATGCCCTTTTTCTGGGAGCAAGTACACAGTCCTCTCTGAGACCAGAAGCTTCTCATGCCTTTGTAAGATAAATACACATGTCCTCCTGCTCTGTTTACAAGGGAAGGCTGGGGCAGGGGCATGTGGACTAGCAGCGTTCACGTGCAGAGCTCTTTCCATTGCTGACAAGTAATAGAAACCCACCTGAGCACGGACTCCCAAATTCTACTCAAATAAGATGACTCTTTTGGTCTCCTTAAAAAAAAAATCAATCTCATGGGAAAGAAAAGACATAGTGTATGGAAATAGTTTGGATGTGCTGGTTTAAAAAATATGATTATAAAAGATATTTGGAGACAAGTGAAGAAATTAGAACATTTAGAGAACTGAGGGCATTATGTAATTATTGCTAACTTTCCTAAATGTGAAAGTATTTTGGTGATGTAGAAGAAAGTCTTTATTTTTAGAGAAGCTTTCTGAAGTAAACAGGGATGGAGTGTCTCTGACCTACTTTTAAATGGTTTAGAAAATTCCATCTATTTATGTACAAGGGTGGCCATAAAGTTGCAAATTTTTATTTGGAGCTTGAAATTAATACATTTATTAACACTATCATCATTTTCTAGATATGAAAAGTTATCATTAGAAGTATATTGTGAGGTCAGGAGTGGTGGCTTACTCCTGTAATAGACAGCTATTTTATTTTATTTTATCTATTTATGTCTTGAGTCAGAGTCTCAAGCTGTTGCCCTGGGTAGACACCATGGTGTCACAGCTCACAGCAACTTCCAACTCTTGGGCTCCAGTGATCCAGTTGCCTCAGTTTTTCTATTTTTAGTAGAGATGGGGTCTCACTTTTGCTCAGGCTGGTCTTGAACTTCTGAGCTCAAACTATCTACCTGCCTCGGCCTCCCAGAGTGCTAGCATTATAATCGTGAGCGACTGTGCCGGGCCTAGACAACGATTTTAAATTGTACACAAATTTTATGGATATCCTGTATATAAAGATAAAGCTGACAAATGTTAAAGGTTTAGAAATCCAAGTATGGGAATGTGATCAATCATTGTATAATTCTTTTATGTTTTCTTTTTGCTTATATTTTTTCATATCAAAGAGTTTGGGGCAAATGCGTATTTCGTAAGTTTGATCAACAACATTTATTTCTGTATCTTTATTCTTTGTCTTGTTCTAGAAAAGCATTCAAGGCATTTTCCAGTATTTCAATTCTGTGCATGCAGAAATTGGCAATGATTTATCTTCAAACATTTTTTTAGTTACCTACACTGTGAAATATGTCTCTGTCTTTTGAAGAAGTTTGATCTGAAATTCCTGTATTTCAGCAGAAGTTTTTTTTTTTTTTTTGAGACAGAGTCTCATTATGTCGCCCTTGGTAGAGTGCTGTGGCATCACAGTTTACAGCAACCTCAAACTCTAAGGCATAAGCAATTCTCTTGCTTCAGCTTCCTAAGTATCTGGGACTACAGGCGCCCGCCATCCTTGGCTGTTTTTTTGTTGCAGTTGCCATTGTTGTTTAGCTGGCCCGGCCCAGGATCAAACCCGCCAGCCCCGGTGTATATGGCCAGTGCCCTAACCACTGAACTATGGAAGCTGAGCCCAGCAGAACTATTTTTAAGCTAAAAGGAGAAAAAAATAGAGTAGGAGAACAGGATCACAGTCTCTTTCTGAAATGTCTGCATAAACTACTGGCCAAGACAATAAGAATAACATTCACATAACTCTTTAAAAATTGCTTTCCTGTGCATTACTTCTCTTCATTCTCATGATAGACTTAAGACTTGAGTTGGATAAAGGCAGGTAGCCTATGCATATTCAGTGATTTGCCCATGGTCAAGAGCATATAGAGGGTCAACTGGTAACCTCCAAAAAGAAATATGCCCATGTTCTAATATGTACTAGGACCCTCTCTGTACATTATGTTATTTGAAAAGTTTTTGCAGATGAAATTAAGTAAAGGATCTCAAATTAAGATCATCTTAGAGTATCTGGATGGGTTCTAAGTGCAATGATGAATATCCCAGTGAGAGACAGAAAAAGACAAGACACAGACAGAGAGAAGATGCTATGCGGGGACAGAAGGACAGACGGGAGATATGCAGCCACAAGCCGGTGAAGCCTGGAGCTCCAGGAGCTGGACAAGGAAGGATTCTCCCCTAGAGACTGAATTAAAGATCACAGATGAATGCTTCTGGAAGGCCATCTGCTTGCAGGGGGTGATTTTACCTGTGGTGTTTGTTATTAGGTAACAAGTGTCACAGTTATTTCATAAATCCCCCAAGACAAAAAATAACATATACTTTCCCCCCTCCGTTTTTTTGCTTGGGAGGGTTGTTAGTTCCTTGTTTTTTTACTTGCGGCTTCCGGGGAACAACACCATCCTCCATCTCCCTCGTGGTGTCAAGCCCCGAAGTCCTGCACCTGTTAGGCAGAAACCTTCGACATTTTTCTTACGACTTTGTGATATCAAATGTGAAGCCCCTTCTTCACCCATTATGACATCTGAGTGTCTCTCTTACCCAGTTTTTAGCGTCTGCCTTGTGATGGAAGTCAGTTTGAGAGTTTTCAGAGAACACATCGTCCTCATCCTCTAATCTGTCCAAGACATGGTTCGTTCTGGTAATTTCCTTTGGTGAACTGCAAGCCACACAATCCAAACAGAGCGTGTTAGTATGTCACGGGCCGGCGCGCAGGCCTGCCTTGTTTCTAAAGGGAGAACATTGAGCTGTTCCCCAGCCCCCAGGAGCCCCTGCCGTCCTTGTACTGAGTTCATTCTGTGTGAGTAACACCTCACATAGCGTATGGCACAAAATAGCAAGAGAGGGGCTGGGGATAAAAGTTTTGGCTGAATCTTATTAATAGTGAGATTCCAATTCCCAAAGTCATTACAACTGTGTGCATATGTATGTATTAATAAATGTGTGTGCAGAATAAATCAATAAATTTTTAAAATCCTGTTTTAAAAAGGTAGAGTTTACAAATATCATACGGTTCAAACTCACGGGCAGGGAAAGTCTACAGTACTCTCTCGATCTCCAGCCTGCACTGACCTTCCTACAACATTTACTAGTGTCTTTATTTGTCCACAGAGATTCTCTGCATAAACGAGCAGATATATGTGTATGTACAGAAGCAAATACCTTTTAAATTATAAATGGGAGCATAGTGACACACTGTCCTGTACTTAGGATTTCATTTTTAGCAACATATCTTGGAGTCCGTTTCACGTTCGTAAATACAGAGGTGCCTCATTTTTAAAATGGTATGTGGTGTTCCATCATGGGGCTGCACGATCATTTTCTAACCAGTTTTTTATTAATGGATATGTAGTGTTTCTAATCGTTACTATAATATAAACAATGCTGGATTGAATACCTTATGCATTGATATGTTTTTGTCATGTATATGTCATACATATGTCCAATAGTATATCTATTGGACAACTGTAAGAATATAATTGTTAGGTCAATGGATATATATGTGTGTATATATATATATATATATATATATATATGTAAAATACATTTTGATAGATTATTTTTTACCAAAGTATGCTTTTTTCTAGATTAACATGCCCTTTAAAAAATATGCTTAGATTTAGAAACATCAATGCTTGTTTAATATTCAGTGACACATCAACCTTTGGTAGCAAGAATATCAGAACTGATAATAAATTTCAGAAATGGAAATGAACTCTGAATCCCTGGTAGACTGTAAAGACAGTAAAGACTGTAAAGACAAAACAACTCCTTGTATCTCTTTTTGTCATTTTGGATGCATAGTTCACGCTGCATTTATGAGGTCCCAGATAGTGAAGCACTGATGTATGCTTCGAAGAAGTTGAATCAATTTACACTTCCAGCAAAAATGATGAAGAGTGCCTGTTTTCCCACTTCTTTCCTGAAACCAAGTATTATTTAAACTGGGATCTCATTTTAGTTTGGGTCTTACTTCACATGTAAGGTTGTTGAATATCTCCTTTGTATTTCTTTTTCTATAATTGTGTCGATATCCTTTGCCCACACCCTATTAGACTGTTGTTCTTTTGCTGGAGTGCACACATATATATATATATATATATACACACACACACACACATGCCCACTTTTTCTCTCTCTCTTGCATATGCTTTTGAATGAATCACAGTGAATATGTGATATAGGTCCATAGCAGTAGTTTTCAGTCTGTGGGCCTTCAACTCTGAGTTTGGAGATCTTGGTCAGAGGGGTCACTTCACATCTATTCTGCACAGGGAGGGATCCTGGAATCTATGCACTTTCCTACAGACTGAATAAATGTTGCTTGTATACATAAATACTGTTCAGAGTTTCCAAAGGCATGTGCTACTGTCTTCAGCAAACTGTAAATGCATTTAAGAACATCTTTGATTTCCTAATAGCTCTCTTGACATATGAGGGGTTCTTGGAAAATCTTTTATTTTAAAAATGTTTTTCCTATTGCGAAAAGTTAATGGCCTATAGTAATATACACTTTTACCATGTGCTAACAAATATATATATGTATTTACATGACTGTACACCTTCTACTCCAGAAAGTATATTAAATGGGCTGTATCTTTAACATATGGAGAAAATGAAGCCACAAAACAATCTCCATATTTTTCCAAATTGACAAGTCTAGACAATTTTTTTTTAACTGGTGTCTGCCAACTTTGGGATGGCAGTGGCACCCTTTAGTGTCCCATAAGGCCCACTTCAAGAAATATTCATGAGGCTAACCGTAGATAAATGGCAGGGAAAAATGCCAACCTAGACCCTGAACTTGAAAATCTCATCATTTGTATGTGCTTGGCCCAAGGAAATCTCTAGTCAAGACTCTCCAATAACAGCACCTGCAAACTCTGACTTACTTCCTCGCTGCACCTTCAGTGGCATCACATTTGTGGAGAAAGTCATTGTTTTTTCCAGTCAACTGTTGTTCCTTCCAGTCTGTATTTGTCTGCAGAGACATCTCATCGTCTAGACTTGTGGGTGTGAGATCCATTTCTTCAGCACTGAAAGACAATGACGTGAAGAGGGGTTTCATGGCAGAACCAGCACCCACACCCTCCCTGCTGGTAGCAGACTGATTTCTTCCTTGGAGAGTTTGGCCTTAACCCCTCTCCTTCCATCCAAACTGGCTGTCCATGGTAAAGGACCACAAAGCAGACTCTTAGGTTCCTCTACTCAAACATATATGAGGAAGTCCTGTGTGGCTGTCCCCAAGGATACATCTCACTGGAGGGCATTTGAGCTGTACGTGTCCAATCCTTGAATGGGAAATCTATAGAGGGATATTCAATCGCCAGTCAGTGGGCAGGGGATGGAAACCATTGTTTGTTCTATAACCTCTTTCTGATTACCTACTAACATATGTGTGGTAAACATTTAAAAAAGCAAAAGAAAAATAAAATCACTGGTACTCTAGGAATAAACAGAGATTGCCCAGAGATGTCCATACTTAATCACTCTTGATATTTTGCATATTTTATTTCTGTTTCTAACTTCGATATTTTACTCCGTTCCCATTGCTGACCACTAGGCTATTTCTAATTATTCACCATTACAAATAATATAGTAATGGATATTATTGTTTACTAATTTTCAGTGAATCTCTAATTACTTAGAAGTAGAATTACTGGATCAAAGTGTATATAATTTTTTCTTCTACAGGAAGATTTCTTTTTCAATTAAGAAAATATGGAATCACTT